AGATGGACTGGCTCCAGAGTCTTTAAGGATGGTGGTCCAATTTTAGCGATTAGGTTGACTAATATTTTAGCTAAATCTGGGAGTTAGACGTTATCCCATCTGACTGGTCGCAATCACTTATCGTCCCAATATATAAGAAAGGGTCAAAATCATCCTGTGACAACCACAGAGGGATTAGTTTAACTAATATAATATCTAAAATACTAGCCTCGATAATTATCAGACGCCTAACTAAGACTCGTGAACTGCAAACACGAGAGAACCAAGCTGGCTTTAGACCTGGTCGTGGCTGCATCGACCACATATTCACCATTCGTCAGGTTCTAGAACACAGGCATACTTATCGGCGTCCGACGATGGTGGTCTTTCTTGACTTAAAAGCAGCATTTGACTCTGTAGACCGCGAGATTCTGTGGCAGTGTCTGTCATTGAAAGGCGTACCTCAGAAGTACATAAACCTTGTGAAGGCTCTTTACTCGAACACTACTAGTCGAGTCAGGGCTTATGGCGAACTGTCATCTACTTTTGCAACCTCAAGTGGTGTCCGTCAAGGCTGCCCACTTTCTCCATTTTTGTTTAACTTCATCATAGACCTATTGATGGAAATAACACTCTCGTCGACTGAATTCTCGGGTATTGATCTCCATCCAGGAGGTCCACTTATCGACTTAGAATACGCAGATGACATAGTCCTGTTTGGTGAAGACGCTGACAAAATGCAGAGTCTTCTGGTAGCACTAAGCAACAATGCCAGAATGTTTGGAATGCGCTTCTCTCCCTCTAAATGCAAGTTGTTGCTTCAGGACTGGTCTGCGTTAACACCTGAACTAAGGATAGGGAGTGAAGTAGTCGAACGCGTTGACAACTTCACTTATCTTGGAAGTCTGATCAGCCCTAATGGGTTGGTGTCTGACGAAATCTCAGCACGGATTCGAAAAGCTCGTTTGGCTTTTGCCAACTTACGTCACCTTTGGCGAAGGCGAGATATCCGTCTATCAATAAAAGGACGAGTATACTGCGCGGCAGTCCGTTCTGTTTTAATTTACGGCAGCGAAACATGGCCATTAAGAGTAGAAGACACTCGTAAGCTACTAGTATTTGACCACAGATGCCTTAGAAATATTGCTGGCATCTGCTGGGATCACCGGGTAAGTAATAGTGAGGTTAGACGCAGGGTATTAGGGAATGATGGTAAATCAGTTGATGAGGTTATGAATCTTCATCGACTGAGATGGTTGGGCCACGTGTTACGTATGCCTGAACACCGATTACCACGACGTGCAATGCTAACCGGTGTAGGGGATGGTTGGAAGAAAGTTAGGGGCGGCCAAACCAAAACGTGGCATCAGTGCCTGAAGTCACTAACTTGTAGTCTGAGCCATGTTGGTAGATGCAGACTACTTGGTTGGGGTCCGCGTGACTTTCGTAACCAATGGTTGGAGACTCTTGGTGACATGGCTCAGAATCGATCACAATGGCGTCGGTGTATACACTCTCTGTCTTCCCTTAAACTAAGAGATTAAAATCACTTCATATCTTTCTTTCTACGAACCAATTCTTTCTTCTTGTATTATATCTCTATATGCAATCTTTCTCTTATATATTACCACCTTTGACCTAACCACTGCTATGAATCCGGTGTTCATCTTGTTGTGCTGATGCGGTATGGCAACCTGGACCGATGCACATATGTGCCTGGTCCTACGTTGTAGCTGACTGACTGCCCAAACCGAAGCAGTGTGATTGCTATTAAGGTTACGTAACATATATTGGGGATAGTAAAGCTGTTGGATTAATAAATTTTTCGGTTTTAAAATACCATTTGCAGTTATTTGATCACTTTTATATATGCCGCTCGGTGGCTGAATGGAATGGTTGAATATACCACTCGAAATGAATTGTTTACTACTAACTAGCCCTTTCTGATCGGTTGTACATTTTTGTCTTCGTTATTTCTGTAAGGTGGCGCTCTCACTGTGAGATTCATTTTCTGGTACCCTACAGAGCCAAAACTTTCTCAACGTATTGGAAATTCACCAACGAAAGTTTACTTATGAACTGATTTATAAAACCAAACTCATCACAAAATGACAGAATAGAAAAGCCACAGTTAATAACCGTTTTCTTAACTACCAAGCATCATCATAAAGTCGTACACAATTACGACAGTTCCAAGAAAGTGACACATCGAAGTGAAACCTGGCATAAATGTGTGTCGAAACAAATCGCAACACTTTGCGTCAACACAGCAAAAAAAACTAACAAGCGAAAACGGAAATGATAATGATAACTAGAAAAATGTTAAGGTAACAAATGAAAATAGAGAATCAAGAGTAGAAAATGTGTCTAACAAATAAAAAGGGAAAAATTATGCTACGCTGTTGACATGAATTTCGAGTTACGTAATGTTTTTTCAAGTCATAATTTAAGGTTATCACATGAAGCACAAAGAGGAGGTTCATTAGTATACTTGAGTCAGTCAGTTCAACGTGACGTAAAACCCGGTACATCGGTTCAAGTTGCCGTCCACCCATTAGCAAAGCAAGACGGAAATGTTAGAGCGAATTAACAGAGTAGTTGAATTAGTAAAAGTATTCTTAGTATGAGGAGAGATTAGGTAGAGAAAAAAGGGAAAAAATATATAGGGAGATTTCGGGTGTCAGGTTATAAAAGAACACCAGAAGTGAATGCACATGTACTATTACGAACGATACAGTTTGTAACCATTGGTTACAATAATCACGAGGGCTTCAATCAGGCAGTCTGCACGTATTAACATTAGCCCAGTTCAATTGTTAACCACTTCATGGATTGATCCCACGCCTTGGTTTGGCCGCCCCTATCTTTCTTCTATCCTACTCATACACCAGATAACATTGCCTACCGAAGTAGATGGTGATTGGACATTCATTTATTTAAACAGATAAAAATTAGTGCAGGGAGGCACCAAATATATATGCGTCACACAAATCATTTGGTTTGTGTGAGGGCTGGGCGCCCAAACCAAAACAGGTGGTCAGTAGGACTTTCCTGGCAGAGGCAGTATGCGCGTGGCAATGTGAGAGCATTTCGAGAGATGACTCTTTCCACTCTCGGCCGTACCAAGGTACTTGGGGGCGGTGGCTGGACATACGTAACACGTGTCCCAGCCACCTCAGTTGATGAAGATCTATCACTTTATCAATCGATTCGCCATCGTCACCTAGTACCCCATTACTTATTCAGTGGTCTCAAAATATACGAGCAATACTTCGAAGACAACCATAAAACCAGAACAGTCAGTCAGCAAGCAACAACGTATAAATTCGTACGTACGTACATCAGTCCGAGTTGCCATACCACATTAACACAGTGGTAGGGGTAGTAAAAGTATAAGCACTGATCGGAAAGATTAGGGTTTGAAGATGTTATTTAAAGAGTATAATACAGTGAAATAAATTTGGAAAGAGGAGAAAGAAAGAGACATGAAGAATTCAGAAGATTGGAATTTGGGAGAACACAAAGAGTGGATGCACCTGCGCCATTGCAAACGATTTTGAGCCATATCATTCAAGGTCCCATAAAACCAGAACGGAGCGAGCTGATGTTTAGCAAACTCATCCTTTGATTGGAAGATGGATATCTCGTCGATGCCACAAGTTGACAAAATCTAGTCGAGCCTTCTGAATCCGCGTTGAGATTTCGTCAGCTACCAGATCATCAGAACTGATGAGACTCCTTAGGTGAGTGAAGCGGTCGATGTGTTTAACTACTTAGTTCCGTGTCATTGGTTCGGAGACTGACACAAGCCAATCGTAAAGCAAAGTTTTGCATTTGCAGGGAGAGAATTACATTCCAAACATGGTAGTATTGTTGCTTAAGGTGGTCAGAAGACTTCATCTTATTAGCGTCTTCAGAAACAAGACTATATTATTTGTGTATTCTAAGTCAGTAAGGACGTCTCGTGAAAGATCCGTTGCTGATAAGCTAGATGAATTGTATATCTAAAAGGATGCTTAGGACAAGGTCAAACAAGAGTAGGGAGAGCGGACAATCACTTGGTTATTGAACCGGATAACAGTTCGCTATGAACTCTGATTGGATCAGTAGTGTTCGAGTAGAGCCTGTACATGGTTAATGTACTTGGTACGCTTTTCAGTGATCGACACACAAAACCTCATGACCAACAGTCAAATCCCACTTTAAGGTCAAGAAATATAATAGAGGATTATAAAGATCACATTAATTGTAAATCAAGCTGATTTCTTTAAGGTTATCACACGGGATTTCTGTTTCTTATAAACGGTCAGTGATCAATACAAATCGACCTTTACGTAGTTTCAGCAAATACATACAACAAACATGAGAAAATATACACCGAAATACGCGGAGAAAACTACTACAATTAAGTGAAGACAATTTTAAATCTCATTAAGACATCAAATAAGAAAGATTAGTTCAGCGAAGGGTTCTCTTTTCGGCGAATTCATTTTCAAAGCTGTACAATCGCAAATATATACTTATTTTTACAGGATGATAATAATACTGATAATAAACTTGTTATACATGGTGACAGTGAAGTTAAATAAACAAAGGTATTAAAATTTTAAAAACAAGGAGAGTTTAATAATTGTTTGATTGTTATTGGCTTATTTACACCGGTATATTATGTCACCAATCATCACGTTACGTATCCAGCTACAAATCACAGTACTGCTCGGATCAATTAACGCCTTTGTTAAGTGTAACAGACTGGTGTTCGACTTCAAAACTTAAGTCAAAAGTGTACGTACACACAGGATACACATGACACAATATCCTCACGCACACATTATTTTGTGGAAGAAAATAATTGACTATGGTGACGACATTGAATGAGAAATATGCAAGTTTTAGATTTGGTTTCCTGACGTTAATGAGCGTCCTATTGCTCACAAAGTTTGCCATTAAGAATTATGCAAATGTATCACAATTGAAGATGCTTTATTTAGGAAGTAAGATGACATGCATTGAGAACTTACATCACACGGCGATTCCGTCACAAACACATGGCAATATTGTAGATTACCAAACCCTGATGGTTCTCTCGCCAAAAATGCGACTTGTTTGTGGACGGCATCACAAGTAGCGTACGATATTCTGCGAAGAGCATGGGCCATATAAACAATCTGTTGGAAGGTAGTGTTAAATTCCAACTAAACATACTTTCAGATCGTCTGAACATATTTTTATGCCACTAATGGAAACACACACGATCACAGACTTGCTACGTGTAAAGCACTAGTGTTTCAATCTACTGGTTTTTATAAATAACATACTCTTAATGATTCAAGTTCCTTTTGGACTTTTTGAGCTCTGCATACATTGTCCTGCTCGTCAACAGGGAACGATCCGACGTACTTAAATTGTTATCAGAAGGCTGTAACTTACTAGAGAATGACGGTATATAATTTCATCTTTCATTAAAGCACAATTAAAAGTCATGCGCTACCTAGAAGTTATTCATGCAATTAACTGTTACGAAGCCTTTCAAGTTACGCCTTTATATACTGCTCAAGGTCATAACAAAAATAATATATTCTACAACAGTTAGATAACTTGAGTTTATAAAATGTTGATAATATCAGTTTTAATAGTTTTTTGCAGGAAGTCGAACTTTGTGTTTTAATTATCTTACTGGTGAGGTAGGACGACATATTGTTTGTGACTTGTTCACACATACAAGGGTTAGTGTTTTTGGTAGGATGCGTCGGATTTCCCTCTTTTTGTGAAGCCTGTTTTACTATCGTAATTGGCATGAGTGTCCTTACGATTTCCTGTCGATTGTGATTTTACATCCAAATAATCCTGTTAAGTCGAAATGTTTTCTGGATGTAGAGGGCTATTTTAGATGTCTTCATTTAATGTTCTAACTATTCACAAGCGATTTTTTTCCGAATTTGTATTAAGAGTCAAACCCACTCGTCATTATTTTATCTCGAAATTCCTCATAGTTCAGTAATTCGTTGCATCGACTTCATAAAGTACTTGAGACAGCCATGTCTTGGTTTCACCTCACTTCTGATTATGTGGTGAGGTCTCCATTGGGCAGTGTTACGTAGTTCTGGAGTATGTCCTCTATTTAAGCTATTATTGGCCGGCTTGCGTACGTCAGGCCCAACGTTGTGTAAGACTGAAGGACTGGGGGATTCGACATGAGCAACCAGTCCATTATGGTCCAGAAACTAGCAGATATCTACTGATAGATATGTAAGGGGAGGTCCTGGTGTACTAAACACAACTTCCTGTTTGTCGAGTATTGAGAAGTTATTTTATGCATTACTCTCGCTTTAAGCATTATTCCGCTGTTTTTACGTGGTCATCTCACCGTGAAAATACTCTGCAGCTGCTGGTCCCCACAGTTTTCGAAGAGGACTTTACCTACTAAACTTTGTTCGCTTATTGTTTTTGTAGTTTATAGCTTGAGTTCGAAATTTTAGTCAGGTTAGAAGTCCGTTTAATGATATTTCTGTAAATCCGTCTAAGTGTATTTCAAATTTTCGTGAGTGCACTTCTTACACAAACGTACTCTTGATACGTCACCTAATAATTAAGCGTTAGTTCTAGGTCCACTTTAACTTATTTTCAGTTGTTCACGTGTTTCACTGCTGTAGTCCTGAGATATTTGTACAGCTTTTGTAAAACTGATGTTACTAGTTCACTTGTGTTTTATAAAGGGATCAATTTAAAAAATTGACTTCCAATTTATAGTTCTTTACATATGTAAAATCAACTCAGCGAGTCATTACGATTTTTCTATCAATCAAGTCAGTATATTCCTAAAATGTTTCTTTATAACTAACAGCTCCAGTATTGAAAGGCATGACTGCCGAGCATAGATTGCTACATACGTGATAAAAGTGTCTACGTTGGTCGTTCCCTTTTCAGACTATTAACACAGTCACTAGTAGTTCACTTAAGTTAATGTAAGAAGTAACAGGGTTTTCTAGAACACAATGTCACATTGTGAATTCATCTTCATTATTGCTACATTGGAAGAAACTGATGCGGAGTAGCGTCGCTGACACAGCATTCGACCGTTCATCTTTTCACTAAGATTTTCTGTATGGGGAACCACTCCAATGTTGATTTCTTTATGTTCAGACCACACTCGTTCAGTTTTCAGTGTCTGGGTTCTAACGATTCATTGGCTCCCACTTAACGGCGTACAGAGGCGTGTCTCATTACTGAGTCTTCTGCTATGAATTCACTTTTTGTCTGTCGCTTTAGATGTTCATCCTGATGGTTATCCTAGACATATTTCTTGTTTCTTTTCTAGTTATTCTCGTCATTAAAAATGGCTCTGGCCGCTCAGAAAGCTCTGTTGGATGAGCTAATGGGTAAAAACAGAAATGCTTGTAATGGTGAGAGCTCTGGTGGTCCACATTGGTCTGACGATGATGTATGCAAGTTTTATTTGTGTGGGTTTTGTCCTCATGATTTATTTGTCAATACAAAGACGGATTTGGGTCAGTGTCCTAAATCTCATGATGAGCGCATGAGAGAATCGTATAAAAAGAGTTCTCGTTTTGGAAAGATGGGGTACGAGCAAGATTTTGTTCACTATCTTACTCAGCTTTTGGAGGATGTTGAAAAAAGAATTCGGCGAGGACATGAGCGATTGGCAGTCAATAAATGTGTTAACAATCCAGACCCGATCGGAGCCAGTGAAAAGAAAGAAAAAATTGCTGCGCTCACCAAACGAATTAATGACTTGGTGAAACAAGCTGAGGAATTGGGAACTGAAGGAAAGGTTGATCAAGCACAGGGAGTTCTTAAATTGTGTGAACAGTTAAAATTTGAGCGATCACAGCTCGAGGGTGATGCGCGTCCCGGAATGACTCAGGTATGCCACTGTTTTTTCTTTAATGTTTTCTGTCTCGCTTGTTTTCAGACTAAAGAGTTGGAAGTCTGTGAGATTTGTGGAGCCTTCAGAATCAAAGACGATGCACCTCAACGAGTTGAAGAGCATTTGTCTGGTAAAATGCACCTTGGCTACGCGAAAATTCGTGACTATTTAAGACAATACAGTGAGAAGCATTCGAATTCCTCTTCTCGTTATGGACGACGGGATAAACGATCTCCAGCTGATCGCTCTCCTATTTCTCGGGATCGTGATCGTCGTCGCAGCCGTGGTAGGAGTGTAGAGCGAAAGTACGTTCTTTTTCTAAACGTAAGCTGTGGTTAGTAGTATCACAGTTCCCCGATGAATTAATGTGATTCGATTGGAATAATTTAAAAAGGTACTTATTGCAGATTTTAATTCCGCTTATTAGGTAATTTTGGAGTCATCGTCTATTGCGGAGGCAATCGATTCCACAAGGTATATTTACTTTTAAAGCCCAAAGTAGTTTATTTAACATAGATTGTAAAGTTCGATTAAGATATACGCAAGGTGAATTTTTAGGTATTTTTCACTATTGTCTCTAAGTGTTTTTGTCCATTTTTCAGTTGCTATTCTGTTCTTGTTTATTTTCTCAGTTCTCATCTACACTCCAATGCTTCCCGACATGGTCGCCACGAAAGTGGTGGCAGTCGGTTTAGATCCAGACATGATTTTCGGGATGAAAGGCGGAGATTTGGTAGATCTAGATCCAGTTCACGTTCGCGAAAACTTCACGATCGTCACCGTTACGACCACTCATCCTCTTCAAAGTCCACGAAGCGCAATACTTCACCATTCAGTGCCGCCCGACGTCCTCCTGAAGGTGCTGAAGATTACTAACTTCTCAGTCCAACCTATTTGTTAGAACATTGTACATATATTTCAGATAAGTTTTCTGTTTACGCGTTAATAAGACCTTAATTCATGTTTGTTTCCACTTAGCATTGATTTGTCGAATACAGAAATTAATGCAAATTTTCTGTTCTCATTTACTCTTTTGGTAGGCCATCGGATACGTTAGTTTTATTGGTATGAGATTTCTATTTGTTTCCCGATAACTCAAAGTTGCACCATAAGTCATCCAATTTTTCATTAATAGGACAACGTATAGTTGTTTCATATCCAGGTGTTGCCTTATTTCTTACAATGGTGTCTTAATAGCATAGCATTTAAGTAGTGGAAACAGTAGTGCTCCTTCGTCCGTGATTGAATTTTCATTATATTACCCACAAATGGAGTTGTTGTGAAAAGCTGTTTATCACTATTTCTTCGTCAAGTTTGCGTTCACGGAAATTACAGTATCTGAAATTCAGTGTCAAATGTCATTCTTGGTACTTACAGTTGCGCGCTGAAGTATTTAGGACTAATAATTCGCTCAAACGACTTGACGAAACACGACGTACAGGAGAAATTCGGTTCGTCCATAAGCCTTGCTTTGTTAGTGCTCGGGTCTTTGGGTGTCTTGTTATGTCCTATGAACAATCCAATGTGATTTTGTGAGTCGTCCTCGAAACTCGTTGGTTGTTGAGATCTCGGGTGTTCAACTTTTGTCGGTTGCTTACTAACATTAGTAGTTTGATTTCATAAGTAAACTTAGCTAGCACCATACAAACGATCCCAAAACAAGATAAATACACGCGAGCTATTGCGAATCAAAGAGTGCTGTTGGTATCGTAGCAGACAAAATCAATTTATGTGAAGACCCAGAGCGGCTTGTGTTTACCTGTAGCGCCTTTCTGATGCGAGTCTAGGGGATCAAGTGTACAACTCATCAGTGGGACCATCTCTGCTCTATGGTTACAAAATATGAGCCTTCCGAGCTGGAAGTTCCCAGTGACTGGTTATCGTTGTCTCTGATACATCGGGCGGCAGTGACGAGACGCGTCAGTTATTTGTTTTTTTATTTATTTATTTGAACACATTGGTACAAGGGGGCACCAGATACGTATGCACCACATAAATCTCATTTGATTTGTGTAAGGGCTATGATAATGTCCGGGTGCCCAAACCGAACCAGGTGGTTTTCTTAAGAGGCCACGCCCGGAGCATTCGACCTGAAGGTCTGATCCACAAGGCAGTGGAGCATCGTGAGGAGATGCAGTCCCATAGTAGCCGGTGACCAAAAATTGGTTTATACCCCATTTGTTCCCTCAGGATACTGGGGCTCATGTGCACTAGTGGTCTGGAATCAGGGTTTTCCAACTACCCTAGGTGGAATCTCCATGTCCACTAACCCGGTTAAAGCTTCGGACATTCGCTTTTCGTCCTCTCAATCTCGCAAACAACACCCCCACCACGAGAAGGCAGTGAGTAGGACTTCCCTGGCAGAGGCTATTTACGCGTGGCTGAGGTAGAGCGGACTCTCCACCCTCGGCCGTGCCAGGGCATTTGGAGGGCACCAGTGTTTATTCGGGTACGATGATAGTAATCCGATTTCTCTTTCTTGAGACGCCGTATTCGGTGGTGTGATCTTTCTTAAAGGTTATCATCATTACTTCTACATCGTAAGTTGTCAACGTGGTTTTTTCAAAAAGTGAAAAGGTGGTCGGTCTATAGAATAGCGCAGCATGATGTGAGGTTGCTGTATTGGACTAGGATCTGTTGGTCAATTACAAC